ACTTCAACCACCATAACTTCTATCTGAGGCACATCTAATTAGAATTTGTTTTGATGTCGTGACCTCCAAATATACTGTTCATAAGCTATTTTTCTTCCAGGATTTGAGTCGTGCTGTTGGAAGACTTGCAGAAGAAACATTTTCTGGTGAGAAACGTATTGTCTGTTTAGGCCTTTATTCAAAGGAGCTGTTGAAACACTGGTGGGATGTGTGAAGTGAGAGGGAAGTGCTTTGGGGTTGACTTCCACTAATACACAGAAACAATTTCCACTCGCCAGTATTCCAAAATTCTGAAATATTGTTTTATTTGGATGACGTCATTTTTTTCAGGCTGTCACAAGAGGTGACTGCTTGGTTCTGTTACTCCAAGGCAGATACAGTGATGATGGCATAGTTCAGCAGAACATCCTGTGACGAGCAGTTTTTTCTTTCGCTCCTATCTGATGTGTCTGGCTCTTGGGACCTCTTGTTAGGAGGTGCAGGCCTGGCTGTGAATGTTGAGGGAGTCTGAACTTTTCTTCTACCTTGTTGCAGGCATGGGGAGATGAAGCTGTAAACGCTTGAGAGGTAAGTCTCTGTGAAAACAGGTTTATATCCCTGTGGTGCGAAAAGGCTGCACGTGATGACTGCATAGTTCAGCAGATGACTCGTGATGATCACATTGCTACTGTCTTTCGCTCCTGTCTGATGCAGCCTCCTGCATCTCATGCTGTTAAATGTTTAAAATATAAATATATTTAATAGAAAAATATTTCTGTGGGTGAAACATACTTCTGTTCTATGAATATTTTGGCAATTTGCTGTTTCAATCAGGTGAAATCTTGTTTCATCTGGTGTTAGTTTAGTGTCCCAGGTTCTGAAGTGTGGTGTTGCTTTGCAGGCTGCCCTGGGCAGAGGATGCTGGTGCCTCTGCTGTGAGAAGCTGTTTTAGCCATTGCTGATGTTGGTGAAGGCCTTCTGAGTTGAAGGTAATTGAAAAACTTGAAAAACTGGGAGTTTTAGATGGATGCTACATCTGACTGTCTGCATTTGAGTGTGGGAGTTTCCTCTTGGAGATGAGGCTCTGCAAGAATGTTTTGTTTCTGGAAGGTCTGAAGTGAAGATACTAGTACCGGAAATGCGCCTTCAGGCCCAAATAAAAGCATGAAGTAATTATTTTGTGGTGTTAAAGATTTCTAGAATGTGCCTGTTGAGGCTAAAGAGTGAACACAGCTACTGTGAATTAATTACCTGAAATGATTTTCCTGGTTTAGGCCAACTTAAGTGTTTACAAAAAGTTCATGTCACTGAACTCTGCAGCTTAGATATCTGCTCATTCCTGCAATTCCAGCTGTGTCTGGAGTTGAGGAATTACTGTCTCAAGGGTGTTTGGGAGGTGGTGCTTTAGACTCCCCTTGGGGAAGGGGATGGGAGTGTTGCCATCTACTGTAAATGATGTTGAATCAGGTCTCTGATCCCAGTGAGGGTAAAACTTGACTAAATGCTGATACAGTAGTTCACTGGAACTGTTCTTATGGTAAAACATTCTGCTGGACCCTAATAGCAAATTTTCCTTTTCAGGCTTCCAAAGTGTTTCTCATTGCAATGTAAGTACTTGATATAACTTTTCAGGTATTAGCATAAGTGCATGTCTAGGAGTGAAGTGTAGAAGTGCACGGAAGCAGGGGGTGAGATGCAAAGGGCCAGCATTGGCTGCTGCTTGTGTCTCAGCCAAGACAGGAGGATGCTGAAGGGGAGAACTGATGATTAAGACCCAGCTCTGATGGGCTGGTGTGTACTCAGCTCTCCTGCGTGCATACAAGCTCCTGAAGTTGCTCTGACAGCACTGTTGTCGTGTTTGCCCTCTCCCCTGCAGCAGCCTTAGCCTAAAGCAGATAGCCGAGAGTGTGAGCTGCCTGTGTGATGAGATGTGACTGCCCTGACTTCAGTCATGGAGGTCTGCAATTAGCTCTATCTGACTTTGGCACCTGGCTGGATTTCAGCCTCGTGGGCTTGCGTGTGCACTGTCCTCATACTTGGCTTTGTTCCAGGGCTGCTGCAGCAGAGCTGCCAAGTGGTGTGTGGTGCTACCAGCAAAAGTAAGTTGCCAGCAAGCGCATATGACTGGTCAGAACCGTGTGATGGGTGATGGAGAAGTTGCCAGATGCTGTTACTCTATTTGCAGTGGAGCTGCAGTGTTGAAGAGAAGATTCCTTGAGGATTTTCTTGCTTCTACCAGTAGATAACAAGTTACCAGCAGCCTGTAGGGTGCCAGGAACTGTATCTCCTAGTTTGTGACCAAAGATAGTGGTAAAGATATGGTGATGTAACAGCGTTGGATAAAGGGGTTTCTAGAAGTCTTAGTGAAGCTCTAGAGTAACATGAGTTTCTGGTTGCTCAGAAAGAATGGGTGATAACTTGGCACTGCAAAGCTTGTGCTGACCAAAGCTGGTACCATTATTTGCTATCTTAACTTTTTGCTGGTTAAATCAAGCAGTGGACTTGTGCAGGAGAGTAGCACTGATCTTCAGTGGGTGAAGTAATACAGTAAATGATTTGCCTCTCTGTCTAGACCAGAGCTTTTATGTGATATGAATAAAGATATAGTTGGGGCTAATTTCTGAAATGTTGAGGTCCTCCATGAGGGAGAAAGAAAAGCAACTAAAGCTTCTGTAAACACGTACTGTTTGTGATGATTAATTTAAAGCAATGGGAATCTCTCTGAAAGAGACTGAGGAGGACTCTTGCACTGAAACAGTACCCACATTTAAACTAACTCCTGAAGTGCAACTGAGGAGAGTGTTCAGAAAATTTCTTTTGTTACAGAGTGAAGCTCATGGTGTTGGTGTAAGAAACAAGACTTACATCTGAGGTAAGTGTAGAGAGCTTGGGCAGAGTTCTGTCTGTATGAACAGAAGATGTGGCCTCAATGACTCTTAAAAATTGGATTTTTATTGCTGGATATCTTCACACCGTGGAAATAGGACAGTCAGCAGAGATCACTTAATACAGTGTTGGTAACATTTTACAGCAGAGTGCACAGCAGCAAACATAACTCTGATCTGATGTCTGCCTGTGCTGTGAACTGACTGTAACACTGCACTTCTGAATTAAAAATTAAACACTTATCCTATATGCTCTGCTTGTCACTACTCGGTACTTCTTACTGATCTTGTTTGTTTTGGCTGTACACAAATTTAGGAACAAGTTCTTGATTGCTGTACAAACCTGTCTCAGACTGGTTCTCACTTTTAAGGATTAAGATTTCAAGATAATTCCTATGGGACATGTATTTATGTATCAAAACTCAGAGTACAACTTTGGGGGGGGACATTATTACAATGCCAGTAGTAACTTTGTACTTCTCCCCAATTCTTCCAGTGTTAGTAATTCTGTATTTCCAGTTCAGTTAGGGTTTGTAAGCTTTGTGTATCCTATTTGAGTGTTGCAAGTTGAAGTTCTGTCAGTTGCCAGCTGAAATGCAACCTCCTTGTTGGTAATATCGGTTGGGTGAACAGAATTTAATAGATAATTAAATCTATCATCATATGTCTGTTATTCTGAAACAACCTCTCTCTTTCTCAGGGAAGGACCATGCTGTCTGCAGCCTCTTGGGGTAAGACCACACTGCAGATCAATGGTGTTAAAAACTTTTTTGAATATTTGTAGCTGCTGATGAAATTTGATTCTGCCAAATGAATCACTGTGATATTACAACTTCCGTTCCTCTTTTCTCTGAGGCTACAAAGCTACTGTGGAGCTTTCAGCAGTTGAGCTACTGTGTATGCCAATTGTGTTTTCTTGCTTTAGGTGAGGAGGCAACTTTGAAACCACGTAATGTAGAACTGAAAAGGTGAGTGTAACTGTTGTAATAACAGAATTTATTTGCTGGAACCAAATGATGATCACCTTAGCTTGAACTCTCTTTCTGAACAGAGATGAAAACCTAAGGTCTGAGTTGTTCCCAGCAAGCACTTTGTGCTATTTGGTGCCTTACAGTGGTTCTTATATCTGTTTCAATAGGTGGAAGATGGCAAAGTAATGGGTTACACTTGCATGAACAGCATTAACAAAGCCATGGTTTCCTTTACCACACTGGTAATGTTTGCCTGCTGCTGACTGGAACCAATAAAGATTTATAAACTTCACCTGCTGTTGTGAACTGCTTTCTGACTTGAACAACTTGCTTTAAACCAGTTCCAGGCTAGTTAAAAGCTTCAAAACCTTGTTTTAGAGCAGGGATTAATCTAGTTTAAATGCTAGTTGTGCAAGTGTCTTAACTTTGGTGTCAGACATTGCTCGAGTGCAGGCTGCAGTTAACCTGACCAATACTGAGATGTGGACAGAGCTGAATAATTTGAGTAGTAATTAGTGTTTTGTGAGAGATAAACACTGCTACTTGTGTATTTGCTTCTAAAATTACAGGCCACCAGTAAGTCTGGTATTATGTGTTCAGGCAAAGATGACATGCACAGAAGCAGCATGCAGCTTGGACACTTCCACTGGATTTGGTCTAATCTGGTCGCTGGCATTAGTCTGGAGCAGCAGCATCCAGCCTCCATGAGGAAAAAAGGAGTTGTGAGGAGGTGATTTTGATAATAGCAATTTTTTTAAAAAAGTTACTGCTTATGAGGCACTAAGGCCTGCTAAGATAATGCTGCTTGCCAAAACTCTTTAATGGTAGATGTCTTCTGAAAAATTGTCCCCATTTTGTTCTCAGGAGTGATAGCAGTATGGAAAAGTCAGCTCTATGAAGAGCTCATTCTCTATAACACTTGAGCTATTGCTGTAGCACTTCTAATGAGAAGTAAAAGTAATGCTGTTCTGCAGGAATATTCTCAGATAGCCAGCGTTCCCTAGAACCTTTCAATAAGAGTAGGTCTGTCAGCATCCCCATCTCATTCCAGCTGGTATAATCTACTGGAATTTAAATTGCATCTTGTAGAAAGAGCTGAAATATTTTTAGCTGGGATAGTATTTCATCCTAGAGAAAATGAGTTAAACGTGATCCTGTGTCCATGTGCACATTAAATCTCTTCTGCAGTAAAGCAAAAGCCATTAATATGATCTGGTTCCATTCAGGGCTGATTAGTAGCTTCTTAATATTCCTCCCTGCCACCACATTACTTTTTAAAATACCACACCTCATTGTGCCTGTTAAAGAGCTTGAAGGGACTGTCATAGCCTGCGGTATAGAAGAAGTCGTCATGGAAGGGTTGGCCTCTGTTTCTTAAGATTCTGGCCAAGACTTGAGCTTCCTCAGCATATTTCTCTGGTGAGGCAAATCCACCAAAGGACCTGGTAGACATGGAAAAAGGTTTTTAAGAGTTCAAGCCCCTGTGCTTTTTTTTTTTCCCCACAGAAGGAAACGTTATACAGAGCATGCAGTGTTGGGGCTCTAGTGGTGGTGTTTGTAGTTGCTAGGTAAATGATACAGAACTAGCTGTCAGGAGTGTAAGTATGCTCTAAGTTGCTTGCAATTCAGAGAGCATTAACTGATGCAGGTTGATTGCCTGTGGCTTTCATACCTGCAGAAAGGGCAGGTGTAGCTTTGGGTACTTCTGTAATAAAACATCTGCCATGTGGGTTTTGTGGGAGTTTGGGACTTAGAACTAAAGGGAGCTGGAAGAGTGATTCAGGTGTTCTGTAGCACAGCATGTGCCCAGCAGGGGAGGATTCTGAAAGCTGCATTTCTACAAAACTCAGTGCAATATACGTGCTGAAAAAATGTGCTTTGAAATTAGGTCATTTCTTCCTGTTCTTGGTTAGACACCCAAGCATAAAGATTGACAGAACTTGAGCATTTGGAAATAAAGACTCTGAACAGCAGGATCTATGCACAGTCAGAAATGGGTTAGCCCAGGTTCTTGGGCAGCTCAGCCCCTTCCAGTAGCTGCTGTTGCCAGCTCTGCTGGTGCCGCTTACCGGACAAAGATGGCTGCTGCCTTCCGCTCTTCAACAAACACATCTGAGTCGGTGGGCTGGGGGGGAGAGTCCTGGTGTTCAAAGGGCACAAAGAAGGAGATCTTGAAGTCTGCACAGCCAGATTTTATCAGGCATGTCACTGGCACAGTCATATCAATCTTCATTTCTAGAGAAGAAGGGGGGAAGTCTTTTGAGCTGCAAGTGGAGACAGTGCCTGGATGCTGCTGTAAAGGGTGATGCAGACATCCTAAAAGCAGATAGCAAAGCAACATTGTGGGTATGAATGACCTAAAGGAGTCACAAGGGGGTTGGACCAGGAAAAGGGACCTTGTGTCCTGCAGCTCATCCACTGCTTTGTACTACTCAATTTCATGGTCCATTTGTGCTACTTGCACTTGAAACCCATCGCCCACTACCTTTCTCATTCTTCCCTTGGATGTAGTGGAAGAGTTTCCAGAAGCCCTGGCGCATTGCCTCCTTCTGAGTCTCTCCCCTGATGACTGTGCTGACCCACTTTGCTGTCTCATACTGACGCAGTTCGTAATCCTTTGCCTGAAAGGGAGCAAAAGTCACTGTAACCGTGAGGTGAATATTAAGATGACAAAAGAAGTACTACCTTTTTCCAAATTGGTATGCAAATACTGTTGCAACAAGCTACCACTGAGCAACCTCTTCTCTGCAGGCTCTTGGCATATCCCTGTGTCAAACCAGTTGATCCCTTCCTTGTGAAACCACCCTGCCCTGCCTGGGGCTCAGCTTCTCATTGAGCTTTCAAATAGGTGTTCCTCTCCCCCTTGGCAGTAAGTGTGAACAGTCCAGAATAACATTTCCCAGCTTCTCCACACTCCAAGCTGAGATTCCTAAATCCACCTTGTCTCTCCACCCTGGGCTGCAGAGTGCTCCGTTCCCCTGCCCTTAAGCTTTTACCATTGTCTCTGCTGTGCTCCACCGTGGGGACTGCAGATCCAGGGACAGAAACGTTTGCTTGAAGGATTTGATCATCTTGGCTGAGCTGAAAGGCAGACAACAGTTCATTGGCCTCTCGAATCAGTGCAGCATTCATAGAATCAGGGTTGGAAAAGACCTCAAAGATCATCCATCAACCCCAGGCTACTATGACTACTAAACCATGTCCCAAAGTTCCATGTCTACATGTTTTTTGAAACCTTCCAGGGATGGTGACTCCAACACCTCCCTGGACAGAGTGTTTCAGCACTCTTAAATGGCAAAGAAATTCTTCCTAATATCCAATCCAAAACTCCTCTGGTGCAACCCAAGCCCATTTCCTCTCATCCTATTGCTAGTTGCATGGGAGAACAGACCAACACCCATGTATGTATGGCAGAGGAGAGCTTTAGGGCGTTTGTGCCTAACATCAAAGAGCTCTTCCTCAGCCTCTGGTCTCCAACCTTTCAGTAACATTTGCTACACTGAGAAGCAACTGGGAAGCTTCAGGCAAAAGTCTGGTGTTTTCCAAAAGAGCTGAAAACATGAAAACACTCCACTCCCTCTCACTGTCATAAAGCATGTGAAAATAAACACTATCACTATTGACATAACTGCATCTGGTTAAAAGTCTTGAGATTTGAGGAGCCTTTATGATTTTTTCTATACCAGGCAGATCGTGGTGTATAACGTACATGCCGAGAAAGTCTCCGCTTTCTGTTGTTACACAGTGTCCCTTGCATTTCATGTTGCAAAGACAGCACATCATTAATCCAGCAATTATCTTGATTCCAAGGTCATGATATGTCTTCTCAGAGCATAACTGCCCGTTTCTTGGGTTAGAGAACAAACTTTGAGCTATTTTTTCATCTCTCTGCCTCCTCAACTGCTTATAGCCGCCCACACAACAAGCCACTGCCCTGTCACTTGTGGCTTTACTTTTTTCATGGGATTTTATTATTAAAGGTGCACGGATGCAATTCACAGCACGTCCCACCTCCAGTGGCAGTCTTTAAGGTATGCCATCTTCAACGTGATGTTTTGTCACATCAAAAACAGCCTCGTGCTACCTGACTACTTATCCATTTCCATTTATTTTATTCATGACCTGTAGACCACTCTTGAATCCTATAGATCCTGTTCTGTACCCTGATTTAGAGGTGGCTACAAGGAGTTTTGTCTTTGGGATCTATGAGGTTGAAAAGCTTTATCAAAAAGTCACCCTAAAACACCTTGGTGGCACTGATGTCACTTAGAATCCATAAAATAAGAGAGCACAGACCGCTCACATGTTGAGGTTTTTCTGGCAGCTTCTTCAGTTGTCACCTAGTTGAGACCCACATAGCAGGAGACAAATGTCAGTGGTCAAAAGCAGGTGTTGTCCCCTCCCTCTCCCAGCCTGAAGGTACAACATCTTCAGCAGTCTTTACCAGAAGGACTGTTCACCAGCTGGTGACTGGACAACAGTTGTAAGCTGGACAGCTGTAGTCTAATAGACATTTGGTTGGTAGCATTTACAAACAAAAAAAGCATAGAGATAAAGCAGGAGCCAAACTGTTTCATTAGAAGCTGATACGAGTAATTACACTGTAACTTCACAGTGAGTTATTTTCTTCATTGCCATTTCAAAGACAAAGAGGCTGCCACTCTGCTGTCACATCACTTGCTATTTTTCTTATAACTTTGTGGCCAGTACTGTTGGTGATGGCATGTATGAAATATTTCTGAATTACAGAAGAACAATGCTTAGGGAGGGGGAAGACAAGCTGAGAAGAATCCTTCAAATATTTACAGTTGAATTATTTTAGGTCTACAGGAAAGCTTAGCTGAGAGATTTCTGTCTGTCCATACAAATATGACTGGCGGGTGTGGAGGCTTTTTCTGCAGCTGCTGACACATGGGCCAAAGCAGGCACCTGCACAGGGTCCACTGGTGCAGTGACCAAGCACAGCCGTGACATGCTGCTCCACAAGCCACTCGCTATATTAAGAAAGCAGAGAAAGTGGACATACTTACATTTTAAGCTGTCCTTGTCCTTCTAGCTGTTGCAGACTGTGCTTCTGAGGCTGCACATACTCGCAAGATAATGCGTGTCAGTGTTTATTTTAGTTTGTCAAACTCCGCCCATGCCTCAGCCCTACTGGAGGGGGATGCTGTTATGAAAACCAGAACGTTGTAGCCTTCTCCTCCTCTGGGTTTCATTGGTGAGCTCCCACGCAAATGCCGAAAGCCCAGCCTACTGCCCACGAGGCAACACTGGGTCCAGTGTGTGATCTGGCTCCATAAACAGTTTCGCACCCTTGTGTAACTGCCACTGGTTTCCATGGCTTTGTGCCTGCTTATGTCAGGGTCAGTGGCAGGTTTTGTGCTTTTGGGAGAAAGAATTACACGTAAATAGTGTTTCCCCCCCTTGATACTCAGGTTATGTGAGAGTGATGGTACAGAACAACTTTCCCTTTTTATCCCTGGGGTGAAATGGCAGAAATCTGGCTGCAAACTAAGCTAAGGGCATTCTCAGGAGATTCCTGATGCTGTGAAAGACAGTGTTGTATAATAGCTGTCTGTTTTGGGCGGTATTTGAGACTAGTCGGCCCGCTTAGCCCTTGGATATCTGCACAAAGGGCTTACACAGAGCTATTGTGAAAGTCTGTCCTGCCCGTCATACACAGAGTGAAGCTGGACTCTTCATTGAACCAGCTGCAGCTCCAGACATACTCAGGTACCAGCACAATAGGGCAGATTAAACTTTACAGTTGGAGTTCCGAGAGCTTGTCTCGTGTTTGTCATGGTTTGTGCAAATTCCTTGCAGCCAAATTCAGCTAAGCTCTCTGGGACACTGGAAGTCAACAGCTGGGAGTGACTTTTAACAGGAAACACGGTTTGCTTGCAGACAACTTCATCATGATGCTGTGTGATACGCTCCTGTTCTAAAAGGGGAAATAGAACTCCCAAACCCAAGCCAAACAGCAACTGCAAGCATTTCTAAAGCCACGGAAGTGGGGTGGTGTAAAGAGTGGTTTACAAATGGAGCCTGTTAGAACATGCTAAGGCCTGAAATGCAGAACCAGTTCTCTGCATGCTTTGTACTTTTATTTTCTGGAGTAAACTTCCGCTCAGTTTTACCTGTGTTCTGCTTGGGTCAAACAGAATTAAGCAAGTTGGTTTGGAGAAGCAGAAGGTGGTACTTCATGGCCTTTACTTAGGATTTCTGGGCATGCAAAGGCACGTGTCTGTGTGAGGTCAGCTGGTACATGACCTGTCACCCTAACATTCCTCTCAAGTACATACCTCTAATTATTTTCTCCAGTGTAGAGAAGGCCACATACATAAAAAAAATATACCCAGCCACTATAGTTTGGCAAATCTCAACAAGTTTACCCCAATCATGAGCTCACAGAATTGAAAGGGGGACAATTAATCTGTAGATAAACACAGGCCCAGTGTGGATTCTGGTTTTGTTTCTGAAGCAGAGGGGCCCAGAACAAATCCCCAGTCAGTTTGTATGTGTCCAGCTGATGTCATGGACAAAGAGCTCACTGTTCTGGTGGAGTAGCCTGAGGCTGGAGAACAATCAGCAGTGTTTCTCCCTGAGGTTGTTTTCCAACATTCTTGTTCTTCACATATACATTGAGAGAACATGTCAACAGTTGAAAGGAAGAACAGGACAGGCATGAGGACATGGATTCTGTACATAACCAGACACATACCCAAACTGTATATAATTAGGGGTTTGGGGAAGGGACTACAATGGAAGGTGATGCACAGTCGCACTGGTACCTCCAAATAGGGGGAAATCTGAGTATGCTAACTGTACCCTTTGCCCTTTACACAGGAAAATAACATGAAAGAACTGTTTTAGCACCTTGAGGTCCCAGTGGTTTGCAGAACATAAGACATGGAAGTTCAGCAGCATACATAGAGTGCTAGTTTGCCTGGCTAGTTGTAGAAAAGCCAAAATGGGCAGTAAGAAAGGTTCATACTGCTTATAGAATTAGTACATTTGGACATGATTCGGCAATGTGCACTCACAGCCCAAAAGGCCAGTCATATCCTGGGCTGCATCCAGAGCAGGGTAGCCAGCAAGGCAAGGGAGGGGATTCTGCCCCTCTGCTCTCTGGGGAGACCCCCCTGCAGTTCTGGGTCCAGCTCTGGAATCCTCAGCACGAGAGAGACAGGGACCTGTTGGAACAGGTCCAGAGAGGGCCACAAAAATGATCCAAGGGCTGGAACTGCTCTGCTGTGAGGCCAGGCTGAGAGAGTTGGGGTTGTTCAGCCTGGAGAAGAGAAGGCTCTGGGGAGGCCTTGCTGCAGTCTTTGGGTACTTCAAGGGGACCTATAAGAAAGGTGGGGAGAGACTTCCTAGCAGTGCTTATTGTGACAGGACAAGGAGTGATGGTTTTACACTAAAAGAGGGGAGATTCAGACTGGACAGAAGGAAGAAATTTTTATGCTGAGGGTGGTGAGACACTGGCCCAGACTACCCAGAGAGGTGATAGATGTCCCATCCCTGGAACCATTCCAGATGAGGTTGGATGGGGCTCTGGTGCCAACCTGCTCTAGTTGCAGATGTCCCTGCTCTCTGCAGAGGGGTTGGACTAGATGACCTTGAAAGGTCCCTTCCAACCCAAATCAGTCTACTATTCATATACTATACCTCTAATGCAAAGAATTCCTGTGCACAGAGGAGCCCTAAATGTACTAATACAACAGGCAGTAATTAAGTCTCAAAGGTAGCCTCTGACACCTCTGTTTAATGTCATAAATTTTTGTATGCCTGGGACTTGGCTGGTGTTCTCTAGAACAGCTGACAAAGCAAGGTTTTCCTGTAGTGTTCCCTTAAACTCCAGGAGCAGAGATGAGGACACAAGCACGGAACGGCACAGGGTTTGTAGCTTAGCTTTACTGTAATTTTCAGCAGGCATTTCCAATGAACTTGTGCTACAGCAACAGCTTTTCAGGCTAGCAGCTTCTCTTAGAGAAGGACAAGCCTGTAATAGGATCACTTGTGATTTCCGTTTTTCCTCTCTGCAGTCCCCACCTATAACAAGCCTGCACAAGACCTTAACCAGCATGCTATATAGAAAAATGCTCCCGTCCCCTCTGTGGCAGCGTTGCAGTAACTGCTGTCAGTTTCTTGCAAGTGTGGTGTAAGGTGCTTTTATCCCTAGAGGCAAGTGCAGGCTGGTTGCAGAGAAAAAGGTGAATCTTTTCTACTGACCTAATTATGTCAGGATTGGAGAAGCCTGAGAAAATATGTTTTGCTACAGTCCGATTAGTGATAACTTTAAGAGTTATCAGAGAAGGATGACTGTGTCTCCAGTCTGGCCACTCATCTGTTCTAGCAAGTGGTCACAACCCAGATGCTCCAGACAGTTTTGCATTTCTGCCTAACCCTGTCAGAGCATCCGTCAGCCTTCTGTTTGGTAATGGTTTTGATTTAAAAGAATGGAAACTCTTCACATATAAATGGCATTTGTTTCTGCAAACATGCACTCGTCATATGATGCAGAAGCCATTAACTTCACAAGACAGAAGTTGAGCATGTGATGTTACTGTACTTACTGTAAAAAACCCCAAAACTGTAGTTGCTGTAAAAAAAAAAAAAAAAAAAAAGAAAAAGTTGCAGTCCAGGGGGCAGCCCAAAGTGTCTTTATCTGTTGTTAGACGAATTGTGGTTTTCTGCAGATTTGTCTCCCGAAAGAAGCCCCTCTTTTCTAAATATAGAGAAAACCTTCTAGCAAATTCTATTTTATGTCTTATTCTCACTTCCAGGAAGGAGAATGAAGAAGCAGAAGGATACTATCTTCTATAGAAGCAGTTAAACATACACTCTAGTACTGTCTAAGGAGATTCTATATTATGCCTTGCAAAGCAGGGAAGTGAAATCTCTCCATAACTCTAGTAAGATGACATTTAGACCTTATGCTCTAACCTATGCAGTTTATGGCAGCACACCAATTTGTTACCATTGGATTGGCCTTCAGCCAAAAATCAGTTCCTTTCTGGAAGTGGATACATTATATTTTGTCCATGCCTGATTCCAGCTAATTAGTTACAAGCAACACATAAAATGATTGCATCTCCCTGCTACCTTGAACAGCTGACTCGGTGACAGCATTACATAAAATTCTGCTAAATGAGGGACTCCTTGTTAGCAGCTCACTTCATCAGAGATTGCATGGAACCGACTGGCCTTGACCAAATAAAAAGTTTCCTACATCCAACACTGCCCCAGAGCACTCTTGACTTGGCATTTTCCAAGACTGCTCTGCTGAAGGTCACATTTTCGAATCATTCTACATTTGTAGAATTAATCCTAAATTAATCCTTTCTTCCAACTGCCATGAAAACCCTTCCTGTCTTCTATCCATAGAGCATAGAGAGAGATTGGAAGCTTTTTTAGCTTTGTGTACTGCTTTATTCACTTGGCCTCTTTCCAAAATAAGGGTTATCTTTAATATGGATCTGTTTAGGAATCTATCAGCTGAATCCTACAAGCAAATTGTCTCAGTAAATTTCTTTAGCCAGCATTAGTACTTCACTAAATCCACAGAAAACCTGCAGTCCTCTATGAGTGTTGGAAGAAGAGGAAGTGAATTCCGGTTCCCCTACAAATTCATCTGCATTCTGTGATTGACAGATTCTGCTCTGAAAAAAAACCCAAACAAACATTAAACAAGATGATTTTTTTATCTTCAAGGCAAGAATGTATCATTCAGGGAAACAGGATTAAAGTCACACAGGTAACAGTGCCTCGACACAAATCTATTGTACTGCAATTTTTGCCTTTTTAAATGGTATTTAACAATGACTTAAGCTGTAGTCTAAGGTGAGAGAGGACACACCTTCTTTGGGAGCACAACTGGATCCTGCAGCAGATGGCACTGTTGTTTGTGTTCAGAGCAATACTAAAGTTCCTCAAATTCTTGGTTGCCAGTGACCACTTTAGTTCAGATCCAGAGTACTGTGATAGTTTTTCCTATTTCTAAAGCCTTACGTTTGAATATACTCTAGTATCTAGTAACAGGAAGATTAAACGTTTAATCATCTTAACATCTAAAAAATTAATGTATTGGCATCTTAAACATATTTAATGCAGCCGACACGCCAGCCTGAATGTCTGTGTTAGGACAGTTAGGAAAATCCTAAACTGGGAAAATCCTCCAAGTTCTGCTCAGTTCTGGAAGAGTTAA